AAAATTTTTTGAAGACTGAAATATTATGTCAGAAACGTATTTTCTTTCCAGTATGATACAGCTACCTTACATGGTGTCTGTGGCTTTGGGGGGATTTTGTGTGTGTGTTTTCCTCCTTCTTTCTAAATACCATGGGGAATAGATAGAAGCTTTCTAACTTTTTTGTTTGGTGATATATCAGTTGTATCCACTGGGTTATTAATTATGAACACTGATCTCTCTTGGAGGGGGGCTTGCTGTTTCTTTTCTTTCACACAGGCTAGCTTCTGTATGATCATATCAAATGTGACATAGGTTTTTTTGTTTGTTTTTTTGGTTTTGTGTGTGTGTGTGTGTGTGTGTTTTGCATGGGGAGCCATTTTCTTTCATTCTGCTTTGATGTTGTGGAACATTCTAATTTAATTCATTTTGCTCTTACTTAATGAACCAAGTAACACTGCCTAGCCTGGTCAGTTATCATCCAGGTAGAGCCTCAGATCTAGAAAGGACTTCAGTTCCTTGGGACATCCATGAAGTGAATAACCAGAGACGAAAAATAGTTTTAAAATTCTTAATCCAGAGAAATGGAAATACAACAGTATTTTAAATGTGTTTATCTTTACATTTGCATTATTTGTACCCGTAGCAGTTATGAGAATATGCTCATGTCCAAGATCTCTGTGTATTTATACCTGGCAGCATTGACTTAGAGTTAACATTGAGTATAAACTGAAGAGAAAGAAAGAAAAAAAGGATGACTTGTTATTTTCAGTATTTATATTGTGTCATCTCCCCTCCCACCCAATTCCTCCAATTGTCTCTGGGATTAGAAATAAAGTATTGTTTCTGCGGGTGTTTTTATTTACTTGTTTGCTTTTTATACTATCCCCTTCCCCCCACCTATCTTTCCCCATTGAGGATGCAGGGGAAAAATAAGCCAGATGATTTCAATAGTCTTGTAGCGTTCAGCTGCTATAAAGCCGTTTGGAAGTAAAAGAAAACTGTGTCAGGGAGCATTTCCACAGCAGTGGATGAGCTCTCCCCAGCACGAGGGTGGGGAGGCAGCAGGGGCGCACACCACCGCGCCCCGATGGCCCCCGCAGCTGTCAGCCTGCGAGCTCAGGTCTGCGTGCACCTGGGGTGGGCCACGCCCGCCTGCTAGCAGTCAGCAGTGGATCAAGCAAATTTTTTTTTTTAATTCCTGACTTCCTCTTGAAACTCAACTCAAGAGTGTTAACTCTGTGTGTGTGTGTGTGTGTGTGTGTGTGTATGTATGTTTTAAATTCAGTTTTGTATGCTAGCATTCTTTAAATGTCTGCCAGAAGTTTAATTTGAATTTCTGATCCCTGAAGGCAGCTAGACGGAATCATTCTCGTTCTTCATAAATTGCCTTCTATGATTCATTGTTAACTCATAAAACATACTCATTTCTATATACTCAAAGAGTTAAGGTAGTTACAGTATCAGGGATACTTTTTTTTTTTTTGCATTTAAACTGTCATTTGAGAAAGAAATCAAGAATTAGCTTGAACTCCTAGTTAAGGCATGAGCCCTGTAGCACACAAACCTCAGAAATTAATGTTTTTATCTCAGCGAGGGTAAGGTAGATGCATGGAATTGGTGGGGGGGGGGGAGTTTAGTTTTGACTGAATACTCTGAAGGAGGAGCTCATAAATACTGGAGCGCTGTAGTTAAAAACTCACATGACTGTTTTAAATACTATTGATTTAAACCAGTGGCTAGATTTTATGAATCAAAGTGTAATTTCGAAGCCTTGGCCATATTTCTCAATGCTAAAGCACTCTCTCTTGTGTGCCTTTAGCTGCTTTCCAGACATTCAACACAGGATTAAATGATAGTAGTTACAGTGATCAATAGGTTAAGACCAGTACAATCACTCTTGCCGCTAATGACCTCAGTAGTAATGGGCAATAAAGTGTGGGCTGTAATAGCCTCTCGCTGGTACTGCATGCCCTTTGATTCCCAGTATTAGTAGGGACTAGCTACGTGAAAAAGTTGGACATAGAGAGCTAAGGCAGTGAATATGTAGGCTATAATTCTTAACTATTTAAAGCCTCACACTGTGTTCAGATTTCTTCTTCTTTTCCTTTTCCACCCCACAATGGTTTCTGGTTCATTTGGCTGTGTTTGTGAAAGCTTTCCATAACTGATTTTCATGATATGTTGGAGGAGAAAGTTTGGGGAAAATCTCAGTTTTATTATGTTTATAAATGAGGCTCGAGCCTCCTCTGGAAGCTCAGTGTTAACTGGTGTGAAAATGTGGTTTCAGATGTAAAAGCAGAGCTGAGGCCATCAGGATCTGATAGCCCACTTCTGCTCATTCAGAGACCTGTCACCAGGCTGGAGGATTACTCGGGCTTCTCGCCCCTTCCCCTCCTCTGGCTGTGTCTGCTGCTTTAAGCGTTGGATTATTCGTCACCACCTCCATGGAGATGTCCACCGGGAAAAAGAAGGGAGACTCAAGATCATTTTACTGTTCTGTAACATGACTATGGATATTGAATAAATAACTCTGGGGAAAAGAGATTTAAACTGTTGACTGTATATGGGAATTTAAAAATTATCTGTGGGCGTAACTCCTTTTTTAAACTTTTAGATCTGTTTTGTTGAAGCATAATTTACATATGATAAAGTGTATTTAAGTAGACAGCTGGAAGGATTTTGGCAATTGTCTCCACCTCTGTGACCACCAAACCAACCAGAATAGCTGACTCTTCTATCACCCCCAAAAGTTCTCTGGTGCCCATTTCTAGCATAGGTTTTCCGCAGTCACTTTAAAAATTGTGAGCACGAGACTATCTATGGTGGTTTCTGTTATAGCACTGTTAATTTCTCGTTCATCACCAGCTTAGATCTTACACCACCCTGTTCCTGTCTATTTTCCTGTTCATCACCATCAGAAATTTGGCTCAAGAATATTTATTTTGTATATCATCCAAGAAATGCAAGGGGAAGAAAAGAAACCTTAAACATGGTTCTTTTGTTTGCTTTATCAAACCTCCCTGTGTGATGATGCAACTCTCAAGGAAAAGTAAACTTCCATCGTGATATGTTGGCTTTCGCTGCTCAAAAGATAGTAATTGGCACCCAATACAGATTGAAACATTCAGAAAGTTTCTCCTGTATGAAGACAGAGTCATCTAATTGGAATTAATTTCTAGATGGTTAGATGTTTGGATAATGTCTTCTTGGTGTTTGTCCTAGATTAAATGCAAGTTCACTGTTCTCATCATTGGTGATATTTTGTGTGGCGGAGTATCTTTTTAAAAGGATAATTTATCCATTCATATACATCTGTCCCTGTTTGCATATAAAAATATTCAGACATGCCCATCTGTTTTAAATTACAGTGTATCTACATCTACACTTAAAAGGCCACTGCAATAGGAAGAATTTGATGATGACCTTCCAGACTTGGGTTAATGAAAATTTTCAAATGTTCCAGCTAGTGTTTTCTAAACAATGAGAGACTTGCACGTAAACATCCCCCCACACAAAACATGCCCACAACAACAGTGGAGGCTGTTCACTGTATATGAATCTGACCTTCAGGAACCATTTTTAGTTCATCAAAATTAGTGATGCTGAGAAATCGGGACATCAGTGCATAATGACTGTGAAATTAGGAATGAGAGCTTGCTATGCAAATGACAGGACAAATCATGTGAAAAAGTCAAGATAAACTGCATATTAAGACATTATGTTACATAAAATTAATACTGCATTTCTCCCTTTTGCTTACTGCTCCCCTGAAAGATTTTTTAATTCTTTTATCTTCTGATCAGCTATTGTCTGCCGGATTTTTTTTTTTAAGTGGCACACAGGCAAAGTGCAAAACATGTTATTATTACCTTTTATTGTAATACATGAGATGACAGCAGATCCTTTTTAACAAAGTATATCCTTTACTGCTTCTAGCTTCTTGCTGTCACATGTTTGATTAGAAACCAAAGAAAAGTAAGATGCTTAAATATTACTGTTTGAAGACGTACAGGTTTTGTCTTTTCTTTCATTTTTTTTCCCCCTTTCCTTATCTTTTTATTTGGGGGGGGGATAATTTTTCATGAAATAGTCTTCTTGTATTACGGGGCCTGACAAAATGGTTCTCATGTAGTCTGCAAATTAAACACAAGTGCAGTGATTATTTTGAATAGCTAAATTACATTCTAGAAAGCTTGCAGAATTCATAGCATTGTCATTAGGTATCCGCTTGAATACAATTTGTGTAACCTTGGCCAAGACAGCCTGTCATTTTAATGTCAGTGTTTTATCTGAACAAGACATCATCCTTTCAGATACAGTGTTCAGGTTCCTTGCAGAGATGCCCGTGCAGAAACGTGTTAACAGTTGCAAATATGAAATGCTATCAAGTTCATCACTGTAGCTGTTTGTCACTGAAATGTCATGGAAAGCGGCTTTTATACTATGAAAGAATTGAGACATCTGTGTGCTGGCTGAACAGGGAACGGTAAAAGGCAACATAGGAAGGGTCTGTGTTGCATTTCGAAAGGTGCACCCAAGGTTCAGCTGTCCACAGGACTTGGTGTTCATGGACTGTTCTCAAAATAACTGTCCTCAGAGGACTGATTGTATTGGCTCCAGCTGGGAAAATATTGGTTCCCGTTAAACTTCTTCCCTAAAATTCAAGTTGGTGTTAACTTCCTATATCTTGCTATGACCAAAAACTCTTGAAGCAACTGACATCACACCAGCCTTAACTCCAGGTAGCTTGTATTAAGCTTTTACTCCTGTTTGCTGACCAAACTCTCAGGAACGCTTGTCAGTAGCTGCAAAGTTTTGTTTTATTTTTCTTTATTTGAAATCCACTACTTGATTGATTAGAGCTCGTGGCTGCATCCCCTTTGGACAGATGAATCGCATATGGGAAATGGGTCAGTCCTCTAAGCAGGCTGAAGACAGTCTGTCACTGAACGTGGAAGGCTGAGTGCTGTGGGTGTGCGATTTCCTGGCTTCCTATTTATCCTTCGTTAACGTTCTAGGTTCCCGTGTCAGTGGCTATGATGACACCTCAAGTTATCACTCCCCAGCAAATGCAGCAGATTCTCCAGCAGCAAGTGCTGAGCCCTCAGCAGCTCCAGGTTCTCCTCCAGCAGCAACAGGCCCTCATGCTTCAACAGGTAAGGTCCTTCCTCCTCCCCCAGCATCCCATGCCTCCAGGGCCCCACCCCTCCATGCAGACTTGCCCACCGAAGCAGCAGGCAGAGTGAGGCGGGTGGGGCAGGATGCACACTGGTCCCTGGGTGATCAGCTGCATTTGCATCCCTGAAAGAGAGGGACCCTGCCAAAGCCACAAGGGTTTGGGCCCGGAGAGTACCCGATGGACTGAGATTAGGGCTGTAATTGGACTTGGTAGAAGTAAGATCTTTTCGGCTTAGGGGGCTTTGCGCTCTTTTATTTGGTAAGCCCAGAGGCTTCTAAATGGTGTGAATCAAAGCAAAACGAGAGCACGTCAGGAGCAGGTTTAAATGTGACAGCTCTCCAAGTCCCCATTTCAAGTCAGAAGCGTACAGAACTTTTTAACATCAGGAAGCATCTTGGAGTTTGTTAACTGTCCGCTGCACAGTTGGTTTTACCCCTTTTGTGTCTGCTGATGCTGAAATAAACTTCTGGCTGCCATGGTGCCATGGGGACCTCATAGTCTGCCTTGATGGACCCCTGAACCAGATAGAGGGGATTCGGGACCACAGTGATGGGGGCTGCTGAGGCAAGGTGGTGGGGACCGGACGCAGAGGAAACTGGCCACACGGTGATGTCCACACTAACCGGCCCCCAGCACCGCCCAAGCCTAACACGGAGTGAGCATGCACAGTCTGCAGTAGAGATTCACCAGACTCCCTCAGCAAGGGCTCTTTGGCTTTGTTGTACAATCAAAGGTCATTCCTTGCCTTCTTTTAATTAGTTTGTGTAGAAAATGGTATGTTTTTCATCAGTTCATTTTAGAGATTACTTTTCAAACAATAATGCCAAGAAGAGTCAGCATGCGCTGAAATTTATTGTCGAGTTTCAAACTAAAGGTCAGGCCATTACAGATAAAAGGATGCTATTTTTCAAATCCTGGTTTGTGTATGGCACCGAAAGGGACAGTGGCTTGGCACTGCCCTCTGTTACTTACCGTCCTCTCTTTCCTTTGTAGCAGCAGCTTCAAGAGTTTTATAAAAAACAACAGGAACAGTTGCAGCTTCAACTTTTACAACAACAACATGCTGGAAAACAGCCTAAAGAGGTACCGACAATACATATTTTACTTTCAAACCACAGATCCCTGAGGACTATCTCGTGGCTATTAAACTGTCATTCATCTTTTAAATGATTGCACAACTCAGCTGACTCTATCGGTTCTCAGCTTTCAGACTGAGAGTTATTGTCCTGTTTTCTTTCAGATTTTTCTGGGTTCTGTTCACTGGCTGCCACGTATTTTTTCTAACACTGCTACAGGTGTACCTTGTGTGGGCGCTGGGAAGAGGAGGTTGGGTGGAACCTTTAGGGCGACTTTTGCAAACTGGCACCGCTGAGCTGAGGTCTAGCTGGGGGAGGTGAAGTGCTCCAAGTAAAATTTTACCTGGGTGCACACCTGATATTTTTCTCCCAGCTTGGGTATTGATGATGGATTTTGCCTTCAGAAAAAGAATCCTTTATGCCAAAAGTTAGAGCAGGGTTCAGAACACCCCATCTTTGTTGAACAGCTTCTTCCAAGTTGCATGGATCATAACTGCTAATGGCAGGCTTGGAGTGTTTGTGTCTTCCTGAGAAGAACTTGTGTATTGCGATTGCTTCTGCGTATGCAGTCCTTTGTAGGTGGGCATAGTGATCACGTGTGCCTACTGCCCAGTTAGGTAACAGTATTCTGTCAACAGAAGGGAAGACCTTCCCAGGCAGGGTTTCTGTCCCACCTTCTATGCGACTCAATGTGGCTGAGGCTTGGTCAGATGGGGGAGTATCTCTGGGCATGTGTATGTTATCGTGACATCTCTCTTCCATTCCAAAGTTATCCTATGTCACTTATCTTTGCATGTTTTCACGGTGGACTGAAATTCTTTCCATTTGAGTATTCTCCTCGGAATGACCATGTAGAGCTTGGTAAACAGCTCCCAGCCCCTCTGAGCAGCTTCGTGGCTGGCCCGCAGCAGGCAGCCCCTGCCTTCAGCTCACAAGGAGTCCCGCCAGGTGACTGTGTCCTGGCCGTCCCAGGAGCGCAGGTGCCTGGAAGCGCCTGTTTCCGCACGCGGGGAATGACCCAGCCGTGCTCACTGTGCGGGCTCCTCGCTCTGCACGCGCTGGGTACATGTCCCTTGCCCTGCCAAGGGCTCACCCTGGAGTCCTGGTTAGCAGCCTGGATGGAAACCCCTGCAGAGTAGGGGCAGTTTGGGGCTGAAGGGGAGGAGGGGCTTTAATGAAACTGCTGACACAACCTTAAGTACGGTGGCGCGCTACCGGGTGCTGCAGTAATAAAAAAGGGAACAGATTAAAAAGTGTCTAAAATGTAAATCTAAAGGACTAACAGTAATTAAAATGGAAATGGCACAGGGCGGGAAGGCATGTAATTGTGAGATATCACTGTGCAGAAGGCTCTCAGCTTTGTTTTGCTGGCTGTTTTTCTAATTCAGCAGGGCTTACTCATCAGTGGCAGTTCAATGCGCGTTAATGACTCTGGGATTGCAGGCATCACTCTGGACAAAGAAATGATTATTGTGCGGTCAAAAGAAGTTCAAAGACAAGAAGGGAATTTCAGTTTTTTCCTTAGAGATCCACATTCAAGAGCATATAAATTAAGCCAAATGTTAAAAACCACAGTCTGAAAGCTGACTTCAAAGTCACAACTCTCTAATTAATGAACTGCGAGCTTCAGTTTGGACAAGTTGTGGTTTGATGCGCCCATAAATCAACATGACAGGCCTGTTTCACAGTCTCAGACAGTGCTTGTCACGGAGTCACATCAGATGTAAACACAGCAGAAAAAAGAAGGGATATGAAGGAGGTGCAATTGATCAACAGAATTGGTAAAAACCCACTTTTGAAGCACATTATGCATGATCACAGGAAATGGTTACAGCCTCAAGAGGTTTCCCCTTCTGCTGTTGCTTTTTTGAATCAGATTTCTAACAGCCTTCAAAAGGGAGAATAAGAATTATGGAGTTTCTCCCCTGTGGCTCGCAGGCAATAACCCCCTGTTGTTATTTTGTGCTTCTTTCTTTTCAAAGGCATCAAAATTTAGTTTTTTAAAGATCTTTAACTCTATATTTGAAGACAAACAAAAAAGGGCCGCGCTGTCATTCTTATCAGTTACCAGGGATTGTGTTTTTCCTTTCTGTTGCCACTTCTTATTAACCTCTTACTTGGTCTGTTAGACATAGTTTGGAATGCACGTCTGCATGCTGGGAGAACATGAAAGTTCAGATGAGCTCAGAGGGCAGATAAAGAAATGCAAAGGCGAAAGTTACACAGCAGAAGGAAGGATAAAAGTTAACTCGCCCAAATTGCTGCCTTCAGAAAGGGAAGGGGGCACCTCGGGCGCACACACATGCTGGTGGTGGTGGAATTTGGGAGGGGGGGTGGGAGAGAAAAGGGGGCCACTCTGTGTCTGAACCAGGGGACGGTGGTTGCATGATAGCAGTAGCGTTCAGCATCTCCGGGACACTGGGTTTGTTGTGGTCACACTTTGCCATCCAGTTTGATGGTAAAGGTGGTGTTGCCTTCAGATCCTGAGGGGTGGGTGGGCCCAGACCTACAGCACATCCCCTTGGATTCTGCCCGTGTGTTCACGGCACCACTGAATGTTACCAAGTCCTGTTGTAGCAATGACCAGGAGATCTTTATGTCCCTGAGGTAGGGGGAGCCTCCTGAAGTGACTGTGCTGGTGGTAGTCCTTCTGTGCTACCATGAAGTAGAGTCACATGGTAGTAATCTCATGATGTGGACTGCTGGTTAGGATTTTAACAAGGTTTGAACTTGGATGTTGACAGATGGAACAAGTGTATTAATTTACTGAATCCCCAGTCATTAGTGGCTCATAATTTTGAATCATCAGCCACCCTCTCCCCGCCTTTTCCCTCTTTTGATCACCTCTGCAGTAAGATACTTGATCCTGGGCCAGAACAACATACTTTAGTCTCTTTTTTCCTAAAGTTGCCTCGAGTTGTTGAGTTCAGCCCTGAGACCTTCTTGGGAAGATGGGTGCTCCGTAGCCCCATACAGCTAGTTCTTAGGTGACGGCTCATTACTATTTGACAGGACGGGTGTGGAAAAGCGAAGGCAGAGTTAATTTTAAGTCAGGCCACAAAAAAAGATCCCATCCTGTGCGGGCGAGGTAGGCTAAGTTGATTGTTTTAAAAGGGCCGTTTGTCCTGGGTAGTTATGACAGTTTATGTTAGGCGGTAGGGAGGAGCCGAAGAAAGGAAAACAGACCTTTGACTGCAGTGCTAGGGAGGGGATCCGAAATGCAAGGTTTATCAGGGCATTTTAGCATTTTAACACTGACTACTGACCTGTCCAGGGGACTGCGCGGAGACCTTTTTTGTACGCATTCAATTGTGAGAAGTAAACAAACGGACTCGTATCCTGTGTTTGGTAACTGGGTGGGGAGCGCAGTTTGGCAACCAGTGTTGCTTTTAAATTCTTTCTTTGGACAATGGGCCTTGTATACTTTTATATCCTGGCTTTTCAAACGCGGACAGCTCTCATGAGCTTTTCCTAGGGATGGCCACAGAGACGACAGAGCAGCCATCAGTCATTTTATATAAAAACAGAATTTCTAAACATTTCATTTACAGTAAGACAGGAAACACCCTCCCCAAGCCCCGGCACCCCCGCCCCAAGATTTTTTACTTCAACAAGAGCTGAATCCCTGATCTTTTATTGTACCCATGTTTTTTCTTCTCTTCCTCCCCTCCCCCACCTTTTAAAAAAACATCATGAATTAATATCTGTTGAAGAAGTGAAAAAATCACTTTGACATGAATATAACTATCATTGGGTTTTACATTAATGTGATAACTTGGGAAGGGGTGAAAACAATTGGATCATTTTATGCATGCTGTTCTTCAAATGAAAACACTGGCTTTTCATTTAAATTTATTTAAATTTTTGTTGTTAGTGGTATAGAATTTGTTTTTTGGAGTGAAACTCAATTAACTTTCTCAGTGGCATGGTAGTAAGTCTGAAATTGGTTGCTAATATGAGAATGATGGTTTTTACTGTAAAATAAGCTACATGGAGACCAAAAGGAAACCACTATTTTTCTCCTCCTTTGAACTTTGCATCAGAAGGTCTTGGTATATATACCATTTTATGGATGTATCAGATCAAGGTCATGTGTTAGGTTAAGTGAATGCAGTTGTTTGTAAAGTGTAGTTATGAGAAGCTCTGAAAGGGTTATGTAGTCCTCTTGGTTGGGAATGTCTCTCATGTTTTGAATAATACTCAGAATCAGGGAAACAATCTTGTGGCCTTTCTTAAAGAATCTTTTTTTTTTCTTTTTCTTTCCTGGTTTTAGAACTCCCTTCCCCAAGAAGGGTTAATTTTTCTTTCATAATTGTTAGCCATAATGTGGCTAAGACCTCCACCTCGATTTGATTCCTCACAGATTAAGGATATTAGATAATTTCCTTCTATTTATTGTAATACTGCACTGTATTATCTTTCTATCACTCAGATAATTACTGAGGAAATCTACATTAATTTTTTTGGCTGGAGCAAGGCCTGCTAAACACAGGAATGATGTATTGATGTTTTACACAACAAAAGTTTTCCTCCTGTCATTGTCCAATCAACAGAAAGATATTTATCATATCGCAGAGCCCCTTCTTTTCAAGAACAAAGCAGGTAGGGAAGCACGACCAGCAAGCAGACCTTGTGGTTTCTGAAACTCAAGCCAAGCGAAGGCATCTGCAGTTGAAAGTGTCCTTCATATTAAGCACTCACAGCCGAGTGCGATGTTGTTTGCTAAATTATGAATGTGTGTAATTAAAATCTAGTGGCTGTTTCTATGAAAGATTTACAATGTTATTTCATCGTTTGTCATGGCTAATTAACAATATTAGATGAAGTTTTTCTTCTTCAAAGGTCTGATTTTTTCTCATTTATTTATGTCAGAAGTGATAAACAGAGTAGTTAAAAGCTTCTCCCTGCGCAGGCAGGATGGAAGCAGCTTGCTCCTTCACACCTCAGGGTTCAGGGTTCAAATCCCTCTAGACCTCAAGTGGTGAAGCCTGACTTCTCGTGTGCCTCGTTACAGGTTTCAGAGTCTAGAAGTCCACATTCTGCCTGCAAAAACTCAGGCCTTTGCAACCACAGGAAAAACTGCCTTGATTGGCAAACTGTCTTTCTGTGGGAGCCGGCAGGAGAAAGGGCCTCCACCCACCCCCTCGTTCCTCTTCAGAGGTGCTGTGTTCTGTCCCCTTGAAGGCAGCCTTGAGCCCGAGCCTTCCACGAAGCTCTGGTGACCACTCTCAGTCCTGGCTGATGACAGGGTGTTTGAGGACCACCATCCGTTTCGCCTTCCCCGGGCAGTGGCCGTCTCATTCTTTTTTTTCCCCTGCCTCATTTCTTTCAGCAGCAGCAGGTGGCTACCCAGCAGCTGGCCTTCCAGCAGCAGCTTCTGCAGATGCAGCAGTTACAGCAGCAGCACCTCCTGTCTTTGCAGCGCCAAGGCCTTCTAACCATCCAGCCAGGGCAGCCTGCCCTTCCTCTCCAACCTCTCACTCAAGGTAAGCGTTGATGATGCAGAAGGCGTTGGTCTCTCAAGACTCCGGGGCAGTGATGGCGAGGGGAGTGGGGTCTCCTTCCAGCTCATCATGGAGGAGATTGTTTCTTTAAAACACGCAGATGTGCACTTAGAGGCAAAACCAGCTCAGGTAACAGTGATGGACCCTTCCAGAAGCGGGAGGGCTTGTGAGTGCCAAGATGACAACGTAGGGTGGTCTGCAGGCTTCGCCGACGTCACAGGGTCAAAATGTTGCAGGAGAGAAGGCAGTACTGCTCTTTAGTCAGATCTTCTCACATTTTCACTTTGGAATCGCAAATGCATTTTCTTGAAGGCTTTCCTTAGTTTTAAGAACTTTAAGGCTTTTGTTAAGTCTTATTTTAAGATACCTTGTACATCCTGTAACTTGTTCTGTTTTAAATTGTAGTAATGCCTTTGAAATGTCTCTCTTTAACATCTAGGGAGAAATTCAGGTAGACAATTGTGATTCATCTCTTGCTGTTGCAGAAGCCAAGGGGGTTTTCTGTTGGACTCTCTCTCTTTTGCATTGACTTGATTGTTGGTTTTTGAACAAGTTGATTCTACACCCATTAGAACGGGCAACTTGTCCATCTCCAGCTCTTCTTTGAGAATTGGAGCTCTTTGAAAAGGAGTGAGATTTCATGGATTTAGAAATTTCTTTGGAAAAGCCATTGACATGTTCTTCCAATGGATGTTGCCCGTCAGACAGAAACGAGTACTTTTCCTGTTCCTAGGACATCCTCTGGGCTGAAGCAAATCTAACTTTTACTTGGGTAATGTGATACACAAATGAATTATTCAGAACAAGCCAGAAGGAAAGGAAGGAGGGAAGGAAAGAAGAAAGAGTCATGCTGTGTTTTGAAATACAGTTCCTCCGTCCTGTACGTGGTACGGTGGATTTCATTTGCCCCTTCAAGGCCCATGGAGTCGGATGTATGTGTATATGTGCCTTCAAGACTGGTAGCTAAAACCTTTGGTGTCTTGGATTCAGTTGCGTTATGAAGACAGTTCAAAATATGAAAACTCTTTCTCCCCTCATGGTAATGAAGGCATGGCCATGTGTTCAGTCATTTTTGAGTCTGCCTTTAGTCTCTTGAGTCAACCACAGCCAACTTGTGTCCCTCCTGGGGTTCTTTGGGTTTTCTTTATGTCTTCATGCTGAGACCAGGACATTTTCCTCCTTTAACTTGCCTCTCGCCCCCCCGCCTCCTGCTCTTACTGCTCATCCACGCGGTATATAATCAATATCGCCACTGCTGTCAAAATAGAAGATTTGGTAACTGAGCAATGCCAGGGCGGGGGCGGGGGGGGAAGGACACATGGGCTAATGCACTTTTGTGCTTGCAAAATGTTATAACATGCATTAATTACATCTTTGTATTTATCTTCGGCAACATCGCCGGCTGGGCGGACACACCCACTGGACTCCGCTTCTGCCTCGCTCATCTTTTCCTGCTGCTCCTATACTATTAAGTGGGCTCGCTGAGGTTCATTGTTATAGTCCATCAGTTAAGCTGTCCAAAAGAGGGCAATTGGGCAGTGACAAGACAAGCTCACATGTAATGTGAAAGAAATGAATGTGGTGATGCATGAAGTGTAATCTCTGCAGTAACATATCAGAGACACCAGTAGGTAATTCACCAGTCATGGCATTGATTGATATGCTTAGCAGTCGGCTCTAACGCTTTAGCCCCCGCAACATTAAGAAGATGCATATTTATAGTCTAAGGGGGTGTCTTTGTGTGTGCCCAAAATGCATAAACGCAAATATAAACATTTCTCCTAGTGAAGTGAACCACCCGTGTCATAGCCATCTCTCTAGGAATCATAAGGCTGGTTTTGTGTCCCCTCACCCCTTGCCCAAAGTGGCTGGAGAATTCAGTCATTTTGGACTACAACACAGTTTTCTTTTTTTTTTATCAGAGAGATGATGACTTAAAACTGATGTCATTATGAGGTTTAAATCAGCTTTCTGCTTGCTTGAACATGGTCACCTGGGTATAGAGGTACAAGGACAAAAAAGGTTGATCAACTCTGTTTGTCTTAGAGCCAGTGATACCTGGGATTGTAAAATTGAGTTCCATGAATGGTAATCTGTCAACTGTCCCCACAACATACATTTTTTAAACCTGTGTCTGCATTTTCTTTTATAATGAAGGGGCCAGTTGTCCTGGAAAAAGACATGTAAGCAGGCACAGGGTTTATGTGTTAAAAATGCTAGTAATGCTCACTTCAGGATGTAATCACCATGATTCTTTTACATCCCTGCACGGTCTTGGCTAAGTTGCCTTAAATGTGCATGTAAATATCACAGTATTGGAAGAAACAGAGAGTAATATTTTGAAGACTTTTTTTCCCCTGGAGGTTTTAGGTTATGAAACAGAAGGACCTTTCTTTTTGTAAAATGTTTTTAGGGCTGTTGGACAGCCTTCTCCCTGTTTTATATTATTAGCATGTCTGTTTTTCCCCTGATGGCTTTAGTCGTATCATCTTCCTAGCACCTGTAATTACATAAAGAAATATACTTTTAATATCATTCTGACTTTTAAATTTTTTAAAATATAAACTACAGTTGGAAGAAAATTGCGTGCCTGCCGATGTACCTGTTAATGGGTTTGTTTAACTTGGGACTGTTATTCCTATCTACCATTTTGGAAGAAATGCATGCTTTCTGGACATTTGGTGTCCCTTTAGTCTGATGAGTGACTAGCTTACCTTTTATCTGTCTTAATTCTATTGTGAGATCTCGGTTGTCAAATAACAACATCCTTTGGTAGATACTGTTCACTGAAGTAACAGTTTAACATCACTAACAAGGTGTAACATTGATGGAAGAGACCGATTTGACTGCCTTTCTGAGAGTCTGATGCGAATATTCTTCACCATAATTATCACACTGAAATTTGACCCAGAAGGATACCTCATTGTCAGTCAGTGAGTTACTATTTTATTTACCATTTCTCCCTATGGACGAAGAAACTGATTTGCTAGCCCATTGGACTAGAAGGAAAGGAGAGAAACATTAATGTGCATTGTGGGCCTAACAAGTGTAACAGGGCATTTCTCTTTGTCTTTATTTGCTGGATAAACAGCTTACTTTTGAAACAGCTTCCGAGTGCTGCTTCTATCAGAGGGAAAGTGTCAACACAGTGGTTAGAAACCCACCTCCCATGCACCTTGACCCAGAAATCAATCAGTTTGAGTTGAAAACTAGGCGGCTTGTTCTTTTTGTGTGTATCGACTCCCCAGAAAGTAAAACTGGGTGTTGACATGTGTGGCTTTATATCCGTGTGCCATCATCCACAGACACCCCTATTCACTATTGTTCCCATTGAATAAACAGTGATCTGAGGGTCAGCCATCTTCCAGGTAACTGCTGGGGTGCAGACATCAGTGGCGGCCTGTTAGCTACCAACCCCCCCTGCACATCACCTCACTAGGTGTTGGAAAAAAACAGCCGAGATGCAGCAGGACTGGACACAGGATTGTGTGGTGACCTTTCCCTTTGTTTAATTTGCCTCCGAGGTTTAATTTCAGGGGACAAGTAATAATTGAATATGCCTAATAACTAAATGCTCATTTGGGACAAAATCCATCAAAATATAATTGGCATTTGATTTTTATGAAGGAAGAAGAAAACTGACTTGGCTGTCGAGGACGCATTCGAAGAATATCTGACCACTTAATGTATCATTTGAGGCCTCTTTTATAATATATATTAATTGCAAAGACTCAAGCGTTTGAACATTTTCTTGGAGAACCGTTAGGAGAGACCAACTGTTTTTGTTAACGCTCCTCTCAGAAAGGCGGGGAAGGTTATTGGTCTGCTGTGCAATAATTTACTCCTCTTTGATATGCAAACGATCCACGGTGAATATAAAAAAATCCTATCAGACTCATTTCACAGTTCTTAACCACTCGGATTCTCTGGAGTCCATCGCCTCATTAGACCAGTGCTCTCCAATGCTAGCATAATTAAAATCTTTAACAGTTTAGCAAAGTAAAGATGTTTGGCTGATCACGTTGAGATGATTATCTATCCATTGTATTCTAAATGACAAAAATAAATTAAATTTAGACCTTGGCATTTTTTATTATGTGTTTCAAATGAATATAATGCACACAGCCTTCTTTTTAAATTCAGTACCTTAGGTTTGGTCAGAAACATCCCTGTTCCAGTTCCTGCTATATAGTCAGAAAATGGCAGGCTTCCTCGGAGAGGTCGGTTCCAGTTCATGGAAACAATGAACTGAGATCCAGACGTCCAGTTCTAATGCGGCATTGCCTCGTGATGTCAGGGCTTTGTGATTTCTTCCAAGTTGTCCTCCTAGGTGGTTGTAGTCAGCTGCCATTCAGAATATGTTTCTTCTGTGCGTGCATGCACTAGAATATGCCTTGAGGTCAGATTTGGAAATCCTGGGCTGTAGAGGCATGCCGCCAGAATAAAGGCTTTGTGCCCACAGTAGTGAGATTGACATACTGATTGAATCTCTTCTTGGGAGGAAAAAAACAAGGTGACACTTACTGCCCAAGACTCATGTCCATTCTGACCCCCTTAAAGAGCAAGACAACTGTACTGCTCCAAGTTTCTTTCACGTTTTCATTTCATTCTGCAATGGTTCATTAGCATGGATCTAAGAAATGACAGTAATAATAGTGTTACTTGTATAAAAAGTTATACAGTTTTTCAGTAGACACATCCATCAATTAAGCATGTGGTACAAGAAACCAAAATTAATGAGGAAGATAGGTGTGTTAATGAAATAATCATAGTATAATCAATTTGACTGTTAAAAGTTGAAAAGCATTTCAGGAAGACGATATGAATTCATAATTTATGTCTAAAAGTGATTAATAAAAACTATATTTAATAACAAAGCTATTTGTCATCATTTAAGACTTAAGCACAAAAATTATTCATTTTGTGGTTCATGTTGTCATAATAGTATAGTTGAACAAATTTATTTTGAGCCCTTCTTTGTGTCTAAAAATACAGTAACATCTATCTAATACATTTTTTTTTTTTGCCCCAGCGGTCTAGAAACAACAGTTTGGATGGAGGCATACAGTCTTTGCAAAAAATAGCTGTGTTCTGAATCCTTTTCATGGGAGTCTTTTATGTGTGATGAGGGCACTTCAGGTGGAGGACCCATTCCCTCCTACCGTATTTGCCTTAGTTGAGAGGGAAGGGAAAAGAAAACTGCATGCACCAAAAAAAACCCTAACACTAGGCTTTGTTTACTGACTCTTTGATTTAATTACTGTTTGAAGAGGACGGAATTAGCTGTTAATTGATTTAATTATCCAATTTGTTTGTTTCAGGCATGATTCCAACAGAACTGCAGCAGCTCTGGAAGGAAGTGACAAGTGCTCATACGACAGAAGAAACCACGGGCAACAATCACAGCAGTTTGGATCTGACCACGACGTGTGTCTCTTCCTCTGCACCTTCCAAGACCTCCTTAATAATGAACCCACATGCCTCTACCAATGGACAGCTGTCAGTCCACACTCCCAAAAGGGAAAGGTAGGAATGCAGATCTGAGATGTGTCCGAAGCTGGCTGTAAGGCGGAGGGGTGGGTGGCCTCTCCTCGCCGTATCTATCTCAGTGATCCCTAATTGGATCCATGTGACTAGAGTGTGTGTATAATTACTTAAGAATGTATTCAATATGGTGTGGGTGTGAAGCATCTAATTATTGTCACCTTTTCAACGTGGAATTAGCACTTACATAGATGGAACCTGGGCTTAGGAACCCAGGCAGTCTTTCGATCTCTCTTTTGGATGAGTTGGGCTTCCAGGCCTCCTCTTTCTGCCAAGTGTCCACTGCATACAAGTCGATTTCCTTGTCTTTACGCGCTTTCTAAGGAAATAGCAGTGTCTACTGTAGGCTGTGTTGAATTGCAGTTTGAGAAAAGGTAAAATGTACACTACTCTGCAGTTCCCTCCCTGAAGGCAGGGGACCCATCTGTTTCACCGTTGTGTCCCGAAAGTGTTTGGGTTTTTTTTTTTTCTTAAATAGACTGGCAGTGAAGGTTTGCAGGATGGACTGATGGAAGGGGTCCACATGTATGCACACACAGACATACAGAGCCACTTTATCCTGATCATGGTCTGTATTGTAGCATTGGCTCAATTTCTGTATTCCTCTTTGGAAGTTAACACTTTATATTTTTAAATTGCCCTGAGCTTCGCTTGGATGTTAGTTGAAGTTGAGGTATTTTGAGAAATCCAAAATATATCATGTGAACAGACAGTTCTAAAAAGGAAGCTGTGAATCCATATTATTATACCTTAGCACCCAGAAACATTAATACTACTATTCAGTCCTTTTTCAAAGTAGAAAATACATATATAAAACTTTTTTTTTGGTGTATTTTTAACCTGTTTCCTATGTAGCTCGTATGCAGAGTGTCCACGCACAGACGAAAAGAAAACCTAAAAGTCGTAGGTGATAGCAAATGTCATTTCCATTCAGGAAAACCAAATTTTTTTTTTTTTATAAAGGGACCAAGTGAAAAACTTTTTAATTGTGTTCTTCACTTAAGCAAGTACACACATATATATATGTGGTATATTTTTATACCAGCAGTACTTGATCCATTTAGAGCTTAGTAATCACAGAAAATAGTACCTGAATATTTTGTGTATGTGTTGGTGTATCATGTTCAAAACCAAACACCATGAGAGGTTTCTGGAGATGAGATTATATATGTTTTAGCCAAAGCTTGCAACTCTCCTTCTGACATCACTTTGGAGTTTCTGTGGCAGACACAGCAGAACTAAAAGATGCTTTTATCCTGCTGGTTTAGAGGAGCTTGAAAAATAGAATGGTTGACAGTAAAAATTAGTTTGGAAACATTGGACCAAATGTGACTTCTTTTGTTTCCAGTGAGGATAGGTTTGTATGTCTGGAGACCAGTCTTAGCTCTTGCTGTATAAGGTCTTAGAGTGCCTTTGTAATTAAAAAAAAAAAAACAAACCCTAGACCTTCGATAGCTTTTAAAGAAAAGGTTCTAGGTTGTCGTCCTTTGCTCTACTTGCTTTTGGCGTCCTGAGGTTGATGCTGTCCATTTACAGCAAAGGAATTGAATTACATCTTTATCCATAGGTAGCGAAGGGGGCCATACAGTGAAAAATGCCAACTGATGCACTTAAAGTATTTATTGTAATCTCGTCGGCCATTGTGGAGCCTGCACAGATTTCCTGTGACACAGAAATTTCTCCCTGTTTAGATGCACTGTGCTCAGTTTCATTCTAAAAGGTTATATATCTGGAATCAGGTAGTAGATTACCAAGGAGGCAAATAGGAGAAGAATAGCCCTTTTCATGTCTTAAGGTGCATTTGAAAGTAAATGGATCTCAGAGACAGTCTAATTCCAGGAGAATAAGTTTGTTGGATTTCTCGTTTTGTGGTCCTTATGTGTCTGCACAAAAGTTGGGCTTAATCTTCATTATACTACTTGCCAGCATTAGAATAAGGATCAGGAAAGAATTCAGATTTCACTGAGTGTTAATCTGGATGTAGAAACAGCCTGACTTCTCCAACTGTACATGCAAAGAAGAAGCAACTATGAAATTATATGCTACTACTTAATCTCTGGGACCTCTGAGTTTATATTATGTGGTAGGTTTCCTAGACATGGCTGGACTGAATCAAATTCTAATCACATTTTAACTGAATGTGACAAATAAGAGAGATGAGCAGAGCACCTTAGGTTAAAGATAAGTCAAAAAGTTACAAACTTACAGAATTGATCATTAAAAATTAAATTATTAGTCAGCTTTGTATATAAGGACTTAATAATGAATATTTTATGGTTTTACCATCTGATGGTTTACTTTAAAATCCCATGGGGGATATTGATATTTAAATAGTGGGAAATGATTTTTTTTTTTTAAAGTTATCCCTCTCACAATTCGTTCTCCTTTACACAATGAGTTATCATTTGTCTCAGGAGTCCCTTTGAGAAGTTCCATCCCTTTCTCACCAGGAGCATTTGTGAAATGTATCTCGTTTGAAGCTCTCCCTTGGTTTCTATGTAATATTCCCCACCCCCAGTGCTGCTCCTGGAGCTGTATGTTGGGGTACCAGCTTTAAGAATTCTTTCCAAAAGGAGGTGGGAGTACTCCGTGTGACACTTCATAGGGCCCGAGGTAGCAGTGTGAGAGTTGCGGTTTGCTTTTCAAAGTCGGATTTCCATGCTTGTGGAAGGCTCCTCCCCCCGCCGCCCGCCCCCCTGCATCCTTCGGGCTCCCGTGAGCAGGCACCGCTGCAGCAGCTCTGGGGTTTGGTGAGCTGCAGTCTGTTAAGGAGATAAATAATGTGCTTGGCACGACACTCCTACTCTCCTCTTTAATTTGTCTTACACAAGGAAAATTATAATTAAATCATTCAGGGTAAACCCTTGAGTGCAGAGAAGGGAAGAAAAAAAACACACACACACTTTGGTAAAGATTGCCAGTAGAAACCCACTTCCCTGTTGTGCGGGGTAGAGACATGTATCAATATTCAGCATCATTAGGGGAGGAGCAGCCCATGTGATTTGTGAGGCGGATGCCAGCACTCAAATCAAGGCTTGTTAAGATCCTGTCCCAGTGCGATCACGGACCTTCCGCATCATTAGAATTCAGCACAGGCGCTGCGCTCCGTGCTTTGATTTTCTTCCGAGAATTCAATAATGTTTATTGTGCTGATTATATATATATAAAGTCATTGGTGCAGTAGACATACCTCTGTTGTCAGGCCTGGGAGAAGCGTGGTGGGGATGAAGTTCAGGCAGGAGCTAAAAGCTGCAGAGCAAGGCAGGCACATCCATGTCTCTCGCTGTCGCTGTTTCATTCCGCAGGACCAGGGCGTCCTGACTTCTTTGGTAAATAGACAAAACTTCTACCTGGGATACCTGTAAACACAAAGATAGTATCTTGTTTTTCTCAACTGTCTTGACTGTCTCGCTTTAAGAAATTTCAAGTTTTGGTGTGGGTAAACAAAATCAACGCCATGCAAATGAAACATTTATTAAAATGCTAAATTTAGTAAAGCCCTTTGAGCTTCTTGGATCAAAGCAGCTATGTAAATACAAATAGCAATTACTACTTAAGTAATTGCATGAATTAAAATTCTAAATATCACATTATATTATGATGCACTAGGGAAGGGGAAGGAAACTCACATTTAATCTTTTTTGTCCCTGTGCCAAGCAACTGGCAAAACTCTTGCCTTTGGAGTGATGTCTCGTTTTAGCCATGTGACCACTGGGAAGCAGCAGGGTTTGTTATACCCATTTTCCAGATGAGGAAGTTGATTCATTAAGATTAAATAAGTGACCTAGGGTCATAGAACTGGTTTATGTCATAGTTGAGATGCAAATTCAAGACTCTCTTTTAGTTTGTAAAACAGGACTTAAGAGATTCCATTCAGCACAGAACTGCATACTTAATTATGATCAATTAAAAAGTGCTCCTAAAAGAAATTTTAAGTTGGATTTAAATTCCCTTCAACAGTGTATTGGCTTACCTACTGTGTGCACACCAGTATAGTTAAAGGGAAATCTCAGAGTTTCCTGTGTGAGGTAGACAAGTAGTCCCTGGGCTCCTCTTAAAGGGAGGGTAGGTGGGGAGGGCTTGCAAAATATAAATCACTGCCAGTCAGAAACAGCACATAGAGAACAAAAACGGACCCCGTGCAGGATTTGCACACAGGCAAATGTAAAACAAGGCGTACTCTTCTGTAACTGTATCCTGGCTTTCCTTCCTGCCTTGTAAATCTTGGGTTTCCTCATTGAACACATCATCTGGTCTCTATTCTGCTTCAGCTGTCCTTCTGTAGTCCGTATCAGAGATAGTCCTTCTCTCTGATCCTTCCCAGCTTTTTGCTTTTAGTAGATGTTTTATAACTTGAATATGTCTCAGATGCATAGCTCTTCTAAATATTTGTTCCAGGGTTTCCTTAAGCATTTGGTGAAAGGTTTCTTTAAACTCCTGAGAGACCCTGGGTTGTGCAGCCTCTTTTATTGAAGTTGCTGTCGCAGCCTCAGGTGACCCAGGTCGAGTAACCTCTCTCTTTCTGAGGCCTAACCTGCCTCTGTCCTCAGGAGAGACCTTCCTTTTCCTTCTCATTGGTTGACACAGCCCCGCGCATTTCAGTATTGCAGTTTCTCGCAGTTTCCTCACTTCTCAGCTGGCAGCCACCTCCAAATAGCCCTTGAGGTTTTTGCTGGGCTCATGGACCTCCAGACACTTTCGCTTGATACAAAGTCTCTGTTTTCGATTTGTGGCCTTTTGACGTATTGCTGTGGATCTGACTTTATAACAATAACATTTATGTTGACTGGCCCCTCTGTTTTCAAAAGGCAAGGAACTCTGAATTGTGGACATGCCTGGTGTTTCGTTTCTCTTTCTTTTTTTTTTCTTAACTAAATTCTCTGATGATGAATAAATAGTTGTGCTCTTGCTTTCCGCGCTAACATTTTAGAAGCTTGCTTTCAGAACTCTTCCAGTTACACAAGCCTTTAACTTTTTGCATA